GGATGAGATTGTGTACGGGTAATGGCACGATAGCATGGTACTGTGGACGAAGTGGGCAAAGTGTGATAGGGCTGTTCATTCTGTGTCTCCGACGCAGATCCAAATCGTAACGCTACAATATCCTATGCTCTGCCATGTACTACACGGAAAAAATGGACCAGAGCGCATCAGACAAGGTCCAACCACATGTTACAGTAAACACCGAAATGACGCTGCAGACTTTTCATAGAGAATGCGTGTGTAGATGTCGTCCCTCCCCAAATCATAAATCATGCAAAACTCCGCGACGCCGTTACCCCCAGGGCAGCTGTGTCATTTTCGGCTGTACAGTCAACTCCGTCATTCCAAACGCCAAAGTTTATCTCACGCGCTACCGTAACGTCAAGCTGGGCTGGAACTTGCGGCCTTGAATGTCGACGTGGAACTCGTAGATGCCGTTTTCCGCACCAACGTACCTAGTCGGTCAGCTTCATTCAGTTTCACGCTACAAGACCAACTCACAAGACTCTGCCATCCTCGCTCCACGAGATACCGGCCGTGTTGTCGGGCTCGGGGGGTGCTTCGTGGACGCCGCGCTCGGCCATTCGCTGCTCGGCCCGTCGGCGCAGGAATTGATTGCGCTCTACTTGCCGCAGAAGGTCGTGGTCGCGCTCCATCTCACGCATGTTGACACTGTTGAGGAGCGGCAGGATTTCCCTGTTGCGGTCCTGAACGGCTTGCCGGAGATCCTGGATGTTGCTCTCAAACGACATGGTGTAGAGCGCTTCCAGGTCTGCCCAGCCACTGCCCGCCGGTGTCAGGCTGCGCAGACCGCTTGATCCGCCACGCTGTGTTGTCGCCAACGCTTCACTCGGGTGTGTGCTCGCCGGACGCCGCGGTGGGTGAGGAGCCGCCAGACCGAGATCTCGGTCAGAGCTGGACTGCAAGTCCATTGTGCCGTCCCGGCCCGAGTTGGACTGCAGAATGAGACGCTGGGCCGTACGTATGCGTTCCTGCGCCCGCTCTCTCGAATCGCGAATGTTGCCGAGGAGGTCGCCAATGGCCCTGGACACGTTTTGATTCGAGTCATTACTGGGCTCGCCCGCCTCATGATCTAGCGCCCGGCGCGCCGCGATTCTCTGTGCCCTTTGCGCTTGGATATCCCACTGCGCATTCAGCCGTGGGCGTGCCATTGTTTCGGGGTCGATACGGGCACCTCTTCCACCCATGGGAGGCATGCCGCCAAAGAACTGTGGCGATGATTGCTGAGACGTCTGCTCGGCCATGCGCGCCGCGATCCGGTCCCTCTGCTCCCTCCGTCGGCGGTCCTCCTGCAGAGCCTCAAGCACCCGCGTCTCGTCGGGTGTGAGTGCTAGGTGCTGGCGCCCTGGACCGTCCAGTCGCCGCCGCCGGCTTTCGCTGGCCTCTGGCAGGATGGACGACAGAGTATCGTTCGGTTCGCCGTGGCCCTCCAGTAGCCGCGGGTCAATCGTGGCACGATCCAGGACGGGGATTTGGTCGTACTCGTCGGTGGCGCTGATGTCCAGAATTTGACGCTGCACAAACCCGCTCCTTAGATCCGCGATACCAACGTGGCCGCGGTCTTCGGTCCAAGCCAGGAGGTCATACGGCCCGGGACAAAAAGCCATGTCGCGGACTGCGCCCGACCCGGCCATCGGCCGTGACGACGTGAAGGATGTCAGCAGCGGATCGGCAACGTCCGGATCAGTCAGGCTCGCAACGTCAAACACCGAAATGGTGCCATATTGTGTCCCGACAGCGAGATATGCCCCCGTGTTGGAAAAACACGCCGCAAAACTTCCTCTGCTGTCGGAGCTGTCGTCGCGACGCTGGCTCTTGAGCAGAATCTTGCCACACAGCTCCCAGCGGTACTCCACCTTGTCGTCGTTCCTAAATGGGCCGTTTTCGTCGATTGGTGCCTCTGTACGATGGTGAATGTACAAGTAAGGGTCGTCGAGGATTGCGCACAAGAGGCGGCCGTCGGGCGAGATGATGGCTCGATTGACGTAGTCGGGATACGTCACTATATCCAGAGGCTCGACCTTGTCCTGGTTATCAAAGTCGCGCAAGCCGACCAGAACGACCGTCTTATCATTGTTTGCCAGGACGGCGGCGGACTCTGTGTATGCTCCGTGATGCATGGGGCCGGCTGCTGGTGGAAACCACATGGTTATGCAGTTGACGCGGTCGCGCGCGAGCTTTTGGCTCTTGGCAATGACGCTCTTGTCCAGCCTGCTGCTCATATTCAGCCGCCGCGATTGGCTGAGGAGCCCAAAGACGGTATCTTGCGGTCGAGGGGATTCGGAGTCGGTGCCCATGCCGAGGGGTAACCTTGCGTCGGGTTCCAAGTTGAGTTGCAAATGGAGATTATTATCGTCATCGCTAGTGCTGTCCATCTGGATCGCCGTGAACTCGCCCGTCTCTCCTCCGCAACACACCCAGCCGTTCTCAGCGACTAGGCATCGCGGCGAGAAGGAGAGAAACTTAACCGTCTCGCACTCCTTGGTCGTCGTGTTGAGCCGCTGAACATGGTTGCTGCCAGCGCCTCCGGGGAAGTAGACGAGGTTTCGTTTCTCGGCGCTGATGAGCGATCGTAGTTGCCAGTGTCTGCAGATGGTTAGTACTTGAGGTAAGGCATGCGGTGTGCGCGTGGTAGTGGACGAAGACGCACTGAGATCGGACAGGGATACGGTAGTGTTTCCGCGGCTTCTTGGAAATCAAGTCGTTTGTCGGATAGTATCTGCGACAGTCAGTTTGGCATGGTCGAAACAATTGTATTGGGGTTCATACGACACGCCATCTTTCACAGCCATGATGGCTTATGCAGTGGCCAGAGGGTTCGTCCGTCGGAAAGTAAACATATAGGTGCCGAGGCACGCGTATCGGAGCAGAGTCGCCAGTGCAATCAATCCCACCCGCGTGCTGAGCGATAGCAGTGACGACAGGCCGGTGAACACGCAGCGACCGATGAAGCCGTGGGATGATTCGGGGTGTCGGATGTTTGGGGACGATGCGATGTGAATTGCGCGAGACGAGAGGCAACCTCCCGCATGACGTCCGTGTATGGCAGGAGGGGCCTGTTCTGCTTTTCGCCTTCGTCCTGGTTGGTTGGCGGCGCTCTGCCACAGAATACAGTGGTAAGCTACCACCTTGGGTACTTTAGAAGGGGCGACCAGGGAGTACCTCTGCAGCACGTACCCTAGGCCAGTGCCTCGGGACGGGAGCTTGGGCTGCTGCTTACCCAACGAGGCACACTGCTTACCTATCGGAGTCTTCCACCTCCCCTACCTAGGCACCTTAGGCAAGATACTAGGCAGGTACCTCATCAGCAAGTAGTCCGGGGTCTAGACAGGCGTCCAATCCAATTGTTGGTTAATTTTCTTAGCTAAAAGACGCCATTTTGACGGGGGTTTCTAGCGCTTTAATGGGCCATCTTGGTGCACCCAAGTAATTAGTATCAAACCACCTCGATGCGACCGCAACCTATGGTAAGGTTGGCTTTGCTTCTCCATCAAAAGTCGGCAAATGACCGTACAGCCTCATCTACCAATCGTGAATTTCCATCTCAATTCGAACAGGAAATATTGCCAGTTGTGGATCTCGTTGCGATCCGTGACCTGGACTCGTTCTTAGGTGGTACGTCCCAACAGGTCTCAGCCATCTTAGCCTCAGTCGGACTTGATTCGAGAGGAACGCAGAGACGGGAAAGGAAGCCAGATTCTCGAACACTACGGCTCTCGGATGGGTAGGCGTACACTTGCCAACGAGAACCGCAGTATTGTGTTACTTCAGCCTCAAATCATTGAGCAGCAGAGTTGACTGGTAGATGATCTGGCAAGGAGACTCAAATTTCAATCTCTGAAATGAAAACCAGGGTCTTTGAGAGTTTTCTTGATCCAAATCGCTTATAACGAGCTACAGCATGCCCAAGACATAATCTACCATGTTGTGGTTTCGGAATTCTCCACCCGGCGCCAAAGCACCACCGCCAATCAGTTTGGAGTTCTGCTGATTCTCTGGCTTGAGAGTCCTCCAAATCATTGTGCGGTCAAAGTACCGAAAGCCACATCGGATAAAAGGGGGAGATATTACCCATACGAGCAGGACCCGAGGACTTTGACTGATACGTTGGACACACCCGAGAAGAGACAACAGGAAGCTGCGTTGCGCCAGGTCTTGATCCGACCTCGGGGTATCCAGACCCACCGCCGGGTCCACTTTTCGGGACCGGAAGCGCAGCCGTCGGGGCCTGCTGGATCGGGTGTACTTTCCGCGCTGCCGGTGGACCTCTCCAGCTTTTCTCTGCGCAGTTACTCAAGTGCAGAGCAGAAGTCGCACTCCCAAGCAGTCTGGAACAGCTTGCCGGTTACACGATGGATTGCAATTCGTGTCTAAAAGAGTGCAATTATGAGGGCCATGAGTTGGATGAACCGTCCAAAGACACTGGCATGCAAGACGGAGGCGCAAAAACTCTGCGTGCCAGGGGATGAATGAGCAACATCAACGCGTCAGTGCCTCGACGGCAAAGAGCTCAATCTCCAGGTCGAAAAATTTCCAGCCGAGCTCCCCCTAGCTCCGTCCCTGGCCGGTGACACGTCCACTAGCGCCACGTCCATTACCTGCAATGGCCGGGCGATCCCGTTGCTTCAGCGCGGTGGCTGCCATTCTTCCGTCACGTGCGACCACGCCCCCACTGCTGGGGGCCTGGAAAGCCCCAAATTTCTAGCAGTGGAGCGTCTGCAAGTCGGAATAACCGATGCCGGGGTCCCGACCTTGCGGGATTCGGTCGGCTTCTATGACCGGGGGCGCGCATCATTTTTCGGGTCAAAAAATTTCGATCTCTCCTTGCCATCATCATTTCCTCGCATCCTCATCCACCTCCTCCCTCCCCCCAATTCATCCATTGTGTACTCTATAATAACCGCTTTTCCATTCCTTTCCGCGCGCCATCTTCTTTTCCCTCCATCCCCTTTTGTTATACCCACACACAATCAGGCAAGATGATGTCTGCACGCTTCTCAAGAGCTGTAAGTTGTGATCCCAGTGACACCTGTCGCGATACATCAGAGTTTTTTGCTAACGCGCAATAGCTTCCCAGAGCTACCAGCTCCGTCGCCCGCTCGGCCGGCTTCGCTCGCCAGCCCTTTGCCTCAAAGTTCGCTCGCTACGAGTCAACATCATCTGATGGCAAGGTCACCGGCGCCGTGATCGGTATCGATCTCGGTACCACCAACTCTGCTGTCGCCATCATGGAGGGCAAGGTTCCCAAGATCATCGAGAACGCTGAGGGTGAGCAGTCCATTGATCTATCGTTCACGCACCAATAAGCTAACAGTCATCAACAGGTGCGCGCACAACGCCTTCCGTGGTCGCCTTTGCTCAGGATGGTGAGCGTCTCGTCGGTGTCGCCGCCAAGCGCCAGGCCGTCGTCAACCCCGAGAACACCCTCTTCGCCACCAAGCGTCTCATCGGCCGCAAGTTCACCGACGCTGAGGTTCAGCGTGACATCAAGGAGGTTCCCTACAAGATCGTCCAGCACACCAACGGCGACGCCTGGGTGTCTGCTCGCGACCAGAAGTACTCTCCCTCGCAGATTGGTGGATTCGTCCTCAACAAGATGAAGGAGACCGCCGAGGCCTACCTCTCCAAGCCCGTCAAGAACGCCGTCGTCACCGTTCCTGCCTACTTCAACGACTCTCAGCGTCAGGCCACCAAGGATGCCGGTCAGATTGCCGGCCTCAACGTCCTCCGTGTCGTCAACGAGCCCACTGCCGCCGCCCTTGCCTACGGTCTTGAGAAGGAGGAGGACCGCGTTGTCGCCGTCTACGATCTTGGCGGTGGTACTTTCGATATCTCCGTCCTCGAGATCCAGAACGGCGTCTTCGAGGTCAAGTCTACCAACGGTGACACCCACTTGGGTGGTGAGGACTTTGATATCCACCTCGTCCGCCATCTCGTCCAGCAGTTTAAGAAGGACTCCAACATTGACTTGTCCAACGACCGCATGGCCATCCAGCGTATCCGTGAGGCCGCCGAGAAGGCCAAGATTGAGCTTTCCTCCTCCCTCCAGACCGACATCAACCTGCCCTTCATCACTGCCGACGCTTCCGGCCCCAAGCACATCAACCAGAAGCTCACTCGCGCTCAGCTCGAGAAGATGATGGACCCCCTCATCACCCGCACCATCGACCCCGTGCGCAAGGCCCTCAAGGATGCCAACCTCCAGGCCAAGGATATCCAGGAGGTCATCCTCGTTGGTGGTATGACTCGCATGCCCAAGGTTTCCGAGTCCGTCAAGAGCATCTTCGGCCGTGACCCGGCCAAGTCCGTCAACCCCGATGAGGCTGTCGCCATTGGTGCCGCCATCCAGGGTGCCGTTCTCTCCGGTGAGGTCAAGGACCTCCTTCTCCTCGACGTCACTCCCCTCTCCCTCGGTATTGAGACCCTTGGCGGTGTCTTCACCCGTCTCATCAACCGCAACACTACCATCCCCACCAAGAAGTCCCAGACCTTCTCCACCGCTGCCGACTTCCAGACCGCCGTCGAGATCAAGGTCTACCAGGGTGAGCGTGAGCTCGTCCGTGACAACAAGCTCCTCGGCAACTTCCAGCTGGTTGGCATCCCCCCTGCCCACCGTGGTGTTCCCCAGATCGAGGTCACCTTCGACATTGACGCCGACTCTATCGTCCACGTCGGTGCCAAGGACAAGTCCACCAACAAGGACCAGTCCATCACCATTGCCTCCGGCTCCGGTCTGTCCGACTCCGAGATTGAGCAGATGGTCAACGACTCTGAGAAGTACGCCGAGGCCGATAAGGAGCGCAAGGGTGCCATTGAGGCCGCCAACCGCGCCGACTCTGTCCTGAACGACACCGAGCGCGCCCTCAACGAGTACGCCGAGAAGCTCGACAAGACCGAGGCTGACGGCATCCGTGAGAAGATTGCCTCCCTCCGCGAGTTCGTCTCCAAGAGCTTGGCTGGCGAGGGCAACGCCACCGCTGCCGAGATCAAGGAGAAGACCGACGAGCTCCAGGTCGCCTCCCTCAACCTCTTTGACAAGATGCACAAGGCCCGCGCCGAGTCTGGCGAGCAACCCGCTCAGGACGCCAACGCCGAGAACAAGGACGAGAAGAAGCCTTAAATGTCTTCATTCGTCTCTTTGCATCTCGTTTTCACCTCCGCGAGTCGAAAGTGACTCGCGTCAGCATGTTTGATTATCACTTTTGGGCGTGGCATAGACCTGCTTTGCTCAATGTTTGTATTCCACCTGTACTCATATTCCGGTCTCGGTTTCGCCTGAATCGCGCCGAGCCGGCTCTCTCTTCCTTGTTACCCCTTTTTACAACATGTTTGTTAATACCTTGCCTGCGGTCGGCGGAACCGGCGTTGGAGCATCAAAAACATTCACACACACGAGATACCGATTCGGTATTCATGATATGATCGACGGTATGGATCAAAGGGGATTAAGACGGGGTTGCATATGTACAAAACCAAACCGAATCTGGAGTAGTTAGACGTGATAATTCTACATCCCCTCTCAAAACCATCACCTGCCTTGAGACCGTGATACTTTCATGTTAGTAATGCCGGAGCCATCGTGCATGTCAACAACTGCAGATAGCGTAGAAATGGACGTGATAAAGGCTCTCGCCCGATTAATTGACTACTTTTATCTACCAAAACCAAACCATCCTCTCTTCTGTGCCTGCGGCTTCTCGCCGCTCTGTGCCGCAGGTGCGGCCTGGCTGGGTGGCGCCTTGGCAACGGGCTCCTGCGGCTCCTTGCCCGGGTAATCAATGTAGTTCCACGCCACGTCGAGGAAGATGGGCTTGACGGGGATGGCGGACAGCTTAGGCGGGACACTGACGATGTTCTGGAGGTCGATCTCGCTGGAGGGGTACTCGCGCAGCCGCTCAATCAGGGGCAGCTTCTGGGCGTCGTCCTCGTTGGAGGCCGCCGACTCCTTGAGCAGGTTCGAGAGGTGGACGAGAGCGCGGTGGCGCTGTAGTTCGCCTTGGAGGTAGGTTGCCAGGGCCTTTGCGTCCGCGGCGGACACGTCGATGCTGCGCGGGGCGTTGGGGTGCGGTTGGGAGCCCTTGGTGAGGGTCGAGGCGGCTTCCTGGGCTTCGCTAGTGGCGTGCTTGATGAGGGCCAGCGCGTTGACGGTGTTGCCGATGATGGCGTGGGAGCGGGCAATAGAGAGAAACCTGTGTTGTTAGTATGAGATAACTAAACCGGTGATATCAACTCACTTCAGAGCTTGAAAGTACTCGGTAAAAGCCTCCAGCTGGTCGGCGAGCTCCTCGTCGTTGGCCACGCCGGGCAACTCCCTCGCAGCCTCGAGACTCTGCAGGGTACCTTCGTACAGAGCGACGAGTTCCTTCAGCTTTGCCGCCTTGCGTCCGGGGGTCTGTTCCTTGGCAATCTTGTCTGCCTTCTTGGACTTGCGAGCCGACTGGTATCTCTCCACCAGGCCATCGTCGTTGCCCGTCAAGACGCGGTTGCGACCGATTCGCCAGCTAATCATCTCGTAGTTGACCGCCGTTCTGGTAATCTGCAGGCTCTGCATGCGGGAGTCGCTCTGGGAAACGCCCTCGCCTCGCAGCTCGTCGATCGCTTCTTTTGTGGCATCGGCGGCATCCTGCGTCGCCTCGAGGATGTCATCATACGCGGCAGCCACGTCCCTGGGGTCGGCATCAACGAGGGACGGCCATGTCTCGGAGAGCTTCGTCTTGGCTTCCTCTGCTCTGCCCCACGCCAGAGAGATGGCGGCGTCCTCGATCTTGACGTCGCGAGAGCGCCAGGTGAGTGCCCTGGGTGCGTTCTCCTCGCCGCCCTTGCTGGCCTCGGCGTCCACCTGCTTCAACACATTAGGGTCGAGCTCGTTGATCTGCTGAACGAGGGCCGTATCGGATTGGGGGAACGCTCGTCTGGCGATGGCGGGAACGGGTATCGTGCGCGGCGTCTTCAGCTGGTATGCGGCGTAGCGGATCGAGGGATCGATGGTATCAGAGAGAAGGTCCTTGAAGATGTCACCTTTGGTGGTCGTTGCCATGGCGCTGTAGATGATGCGCGATACGGCATAGCTTCGCAGGGAGGGCTCCCAGTGCTGGTTCTCAAACTGGGCGGCGCCGCGGATGTGGGCGGCGTAGGCCCGGGATTCGAGCTTGTCGTTTTGTGATGCGCCAGCCTCGGGTTGGGAGAGAAGCTCGGCGAGGAGTTCGGCCGCTTTTGTTGCTTTTTGGAGTCGGGAGACTATGTGGGATCTCGTCTTGCCGGTCATGCCTTTGGCATCCGAGGCGTGCGATGCCTTCATGGCCATGGCATTGGCCCAGGCACGCTCGCTCGTGAGAAGGAGGAGGTGGACATATCTAGACAGTGTCAGTCAACATCCCCTCGTCCTTGCATGTGTCGACATACTCATGGTTCTCGGCAATTTGCGAGACACCAACCTCACCCTTCTTGCTAAACTTTCCGCGATTCTTGGTGGCGATGTTAAGCTTCTTGCGGCTGTTGAGCAGCTTCTTGGACAGCTGGGTCTGGTAGGTTGCGTAGTCTCCGTAAAGGAGAGCCGCATCGCGGCCAGAGACGACAAACTTTGTGATATCCATCGCTGTGGGTTCGTCCGTTCGACGGGGAGGCAGAATCGCGACAGGCCACACCAAAGGGGACGGGATGATGTCGAATCGACCTCTGCGCTGCGCGGGGGATTGGTGGGGCTCACCAGTGTCCTCTGCTTCAATGTCAAAATTTGGGGTGTGTCACTAACCTCCTGACTGCACACCTTCGGTCATTAGGTAAGCTTGGGCGGACGCCGGGTTGAAGATGTTCCCATCAACGCCATGTCATTGGTTGAAGCTCCCCGAAAAAGTCCATGATGGTAGGTGGATTATGGACTGATACAGCGCTCTTTGAAGGCATCGTGCATACTTTCCGGCCGGCCCTTTGTTCGCATTTGCAGAATAGATCATAAGTCGTCACTGGGAGATCTTTCCCAATTGATACCCTCATTGAGATACCCTGCGTAGGCCAATCTAGCTTAGCTCAGCTCGGGCAACACCTCGGTCGGTCGACGACGTCTTCGATTTCGCGACTCCACCCAAAACTTTTTTGACATTGCGCGACAACACCAACGACACCCACGACCAGCATGTGCCCGAGTGCGTTTGATGTCCGCCATACATGATCGATACGTACCGTGTTGGTGACAGCTTCAATCCCAATGCTGGAGAGAACGGCGGCGACCCTGGAATCATGTACCAGTCTTCATGCTCTTCCATCCGCCGTGCGACAACTTAGAAGCCAGCGCAGGTTGCACACCGGCTTCTGGCAGCATGGCGCCGCGGCCATAGATATCTCCAGCTACTTGCTGGCTGCGCGTTTCCATGCTACCGAGCAACTCACCTACTCCGATCCGCCGCCAACGCCTCCCGAAACCCTCGCCGCCTCGACCTTTCTTCTCGACTTTCTCTACCCCAGCGGAACCGCCTCCTTCTTACGCAGAGCCTCTCCAGGCCTTCCTCACGATCACCTGGCGTCCATTCGACGGCTTCCACGGCGGTCCAGACCATTCACCTCTTCCACGGTTGCGACTTCCACAAAAGACTCTGACTCGCCAGGGGCATTGTCAACGAACTGGGGAGACGAATCTGCTGTGCAAGACCAGCGGTACGAATACCAGCAAGATGTAGATCCGGCCGAGGAAGACGAGTTTGAAGAGGAAGACGAAGAAGATGACTACGACATAACCAGCTCGCATGACACGCATAGCGGTCCGTCATACGCCGGCGCCGGGTCGCGGCCGCAACTGATGAGGGAGCTGATGGCCGACAAAGACACGGAGTACTTTGGGTCCATATGGCAGCTCTACTCGCAGTTGGAGCCGAGTCTGCAACCAGAGTTTCGGCCCGAGATCATTGAATACCTGTATCGGTCCGCCAATGTGATCGATGCGCGAAGGGTCGTTCTCTTGTTCCCCCAAATCGACGACAGTCAGTGGACCACATTGGCCTTGACATCAGTTGTCACGGCATATCTACGCCTGGGTCGAGAGACCGAAGCGTTGCGGCTATACCACACGGCGCTGGGCGAAAAGGCTTTCGTGTGCGGTCTGGACGAGCTGCTGGGTCATTTCTTTGCAAAGGGCGATTGGAAAACCGTCAGTCGGGTTTGGTCATCGTATCACACGGTGTACCTCGCCAAAGGCATCAACTGCGGAAAGTTGACGCAGCTTGCAGCAACTCCCAACCTCGGGGCCCTTGCCATGAGCTTCGCCAAGGAGGTCGAGGCGCAAGAACCAGAAGTAGCGCAGAGACTCAGAATCTTGCTCAACAAGGCGGTCAGGCGTGCAATCCAGCAACCATGCAAGCCCAAAGAAGCATTGCCTCTGCTCAAACTCATCGAAAAGGACCAGAGCAAGTGGTTCAACATTTATCTCTCGGAAGCCATGGCACGAGGACAACAAGAGGGATTGGCCAAGGTGTACCGTGTGTACCGGTCATTTCCCAAGGTGAGACCACACTGGAGAATTCTCCATGGCATGTTTGATATCTTTTACCCAGACAATGTCGCGGGCCTCGAGCAGGTCTACGAAGACTACCATATCAGCTACGGGGGACTGGACCGTTGGGGGTTCAGGAAGTTCCTCAAGTACTACGCATCACGAGGCGACGTCAAGTCTCTGGAGCGTTTGTGGGACAACTATGTCGGCGCCTACCGTCACCGCCACGTCCTTCGGGAGCCAGAAACATTCAACTACGTCATCAACGCCTATGCGAACCTCCAGGACTACAAGAGCGCACGTCGATTCTTTGACGAGATGATAGAAAAGCATGGCGTGATACCAAATACCGAAAGCTGGAATCAGCTTCTCAAGAGCGCCTGTGCGAACTACGACCTCGCCATGTCGGTGTTTGAAGAGCTCTGCGAGAACGTATCACCCGACAAGTATTCTTTTGCTACCATCATGTCCACCTCTTCGACAGACGGAGACATTGCAAAGACCTTGCAGCTTCTCGAGAAAGCGAAATCGCTAGGCATCGAGCCGGACGCCACCATGCTTGAGAGGGTCATCCGGGCCTACTCTTGGCATGACCGGACGAGAGCCATGTTGTCAGTTTGTCTCGATGCGCACGCCAACAACGTTCCGGGCGACCACGGCATCCTTTGGAACGCTCTTTTGCGGTCTCAAGCGAATCGCCGCAATCTGCCTGCTGTCGCTCGTGACTTGGAGGCCATGGCGAAGCAAGACGTCAAGTGGACGCCCGAAACCCATACACAGCTGCTCCGCGCCTTGGTCCGCTGCGGGCAAACACAAATGGCGTACAGGCTGCTGCGTTCGGCTGCCTTTGAGAAATCGTTCAAAGTGGTTCCAGACCATTTTGAGACCGTCGTGCAGGCTGCCCTGGACGATCGCCATTTGGGCCTAGCTCGCAAGGTAACGAAGCAGTTGCGACGATACAAGACAAAGTCGGTCAAGGGTCGCATTGCCCAGGCCCGAATCATGATCAAGCAGCAGTTGTTTGCTTACAATCAAGATGAAAACAACGTTGACGGCATGGAGGAGCTGATGACATATATTCGGGAGCTGGCCAACAAAGCGGACCATGAACGGAGTGGCTCCTCAATACGGCGCGCCGATTCCTTGCACCGCCTGCGCGTTCTGCTTGATGAGGCCATCCGGCTCTTCGCTGCGTATCGCGATTACGACGCCGTCAGAGAACTCCAACAGCTACAGAGGGACAACACTGCAGCCACGACCAGTTCCGTCAACAATGAAACTCCTGTCGAGTGGCTATACTATACGATGAAGGAGAATGCATCCAACAAGAAGTACGAAGAGGCTCTGGCAACGTGGAGACAAATATATGACAGGGTCTTGGCCATTGCTCGTCCAGCCGAATGGGGGGGTAATCGGAGAGCGGTTCTGCCGCGGCACCGTTACCGTCTTTCCAAGCCGTTTGAGACCTTTACACAGGTATGTGTGGAGCTACAGAGCAGGACGCGACTGAAGAGGGGCTTTGAGAAGCTACTTGTGTCGGGCTTCATGTTGGAGCGCCGGGCCTTTAACCTTCTGGTCCAGGGCCTCGCCCGCACGGGAGCTTGGATGGACGCCTGCAAGGTATGCGAGGAGTACCTGATGCTGAGATGGACGGGCTGGCAGCAGAATCGCATACGCGCGCAAGTCAAGAGGAACCTACCGCTCGTGACGCGTCGCGTTCAGAGCTCGTCGCAAGTGCTACGCCCGACATCGTACACCATCATCCTCCTATCCAAGGAATACTATGAGCTGCGACGCACAGCCATGTGGTCGGGCGAGGCGGCGCGCAAATTCAACACCTTTAAGGAGCTGTGTCCGCGCCTGGAGGATGCACTCAGGAGAATGGTGTACACGGGCGTAGGCATCGAAAAGGAGCTCTATGGCACCCAAAAGAGGTTCGTGGAGGCGCGGGCCGAAGAGGTGCTCTCGGTAGTGGATGAGGGAGGCATCCTTGGCTCGCAGACGGAGTCTCTGTCGTTTACCATGGGCGGTGTCACGATTGACGGTCTGCGGACCCGGATGTTATTGGTGCCCTCCCTTCCTCAGGATCCATCATCGTCAGCGCAAGCGCCCGAGGCTTCACTGATAATCACGAGCGGAGTGACTATCGACGGCCTGCGGACTCAGGGTTCGTCGTCGTCGGTGCCTCGCGTGGAAGATATTGGCTCTCAACCTGAGAGCACTTTGTCGGCGCAACAGCCTGAGCATTCATCAATGACTACGGGTGGAATTACTATCGACGGCCTGCGGCCCCGGGGTTCGTCGGCAGTGTCCGACTGAACCTATAGGGACGCGGCGTGTATCAACAGAGATATCTTGTACAAGACTTATTAGACCAGACATGAGTGTGTTGTTTAGAAGGCATTTAATTGCAGCGATGATTTCTAGGAGAGGTTTTGACATCCTCCTCGACGGGGATGACGGTAGATGTGACAATACAACTTTTGTTTATTAGCTTTGGTCTAATCTTCGTTGAAAACTGCAATGAGCCACAGCCCGTTAATCACTCGCTATCCCGTCCTTTGGAGAGTGCATGATGCCTTGGACGGTGCCCACCATGGTGTCCCCCATGCCCTCGTTCAGCGCATCGCGGCTCGCAAGCCCAAGCTTACTCCTCTGCATCACAAACAGCGCGGCCGTCGGCGCGTCGAGGCTATAATCGAGATGCGGGTTGAAGATGAAGTTGCCCCCCTGGCAGATATTATCCCCCGTGTGGCACACGACGAGCAACTTGGTCGGATCGACCCCGTCGATAGCTTTCCCGCCCAACGGGTCGCCAAACAGCACGACGCTCGACAGCCGCGCGCGCTGGTCGGGCGGCAACTGCGCCACGGCGAGGCGGGCCACCTGCGAACCCTGGGAGTAGCCCGACACCGTGAGGCGGGTGTCTGGGCAGGCGGAGAGTGTGCGGGAGGCGACCTGCGCCGCGAAGGCAGCGCCCGTGGCGGAGCCGCCTGCGAAGAAGCCTGGCGGGTCGGCCGGGTAGGAGTTTACGCCTTGGATTGCGATGGAGCCTGTGCCGTTCATGTAGGTGCGGAGGGCGTCGAAGAAGGGGGGGCCGGTGAGGAAGCCCACGTTGCCTGTGTTTGTCAGTCTCTCAACTACGTTCCGTTCAGGGGGGGACGGCGTACCTGGCTCGTTGGTCCCCCGGGCAAAGAGGACGGCCACGTCCGGACACGTCACGGCGCGGGTGGTGTTCCCCGGGAGCGGGAGCGGCATGCCCGTCGTGCCGTTGATGCCGAGGGCCGTGTCGAG